TGAATAAGTAAAGTAAATAACTGGACTGAACATTTCTGGAGAAAGCAACAAGATCAGATGCTTATATGTGTCAAATATAAATGATTCTAATAAAATACAAAGGTCTTGAGCATCTTTTCATAACAAGTTTGAAAATTGGGTTCATTTGTGTTTACAATCGCATTGTTTATTCTCTGCACAAATCAAGCAGTTTAGGAGAGCTCGTTGGGTCCTAATTTCTGTTATTATTTGAATTTCCTAAATATATCAATATAATAATTTGCTACCTTATATCATAGGGCAGTTATGGGTAATAAAACTGAAGGTTTTTCCTTTTGTGGGGCTCAAAGAATGAAATAAATGAATGCCAGTTTAAAGAAGTTAAATGATGGCGTTAATGACAATTTAAAAAGCACACTTAACCTTGGCTTACATGTCCACATTGGTAAATACCACATCTTTAACCAGAAGGGCTTACTCTACAAGTCGGATCCTCATAGATTCCTGCAGTTTCTTTTTTCAGCCTGATGTTGTCAGGGTCTAAATCAAACACCTTATTTAGATAAAGAAAAGGGCAGCAAAGGGTACGGGAAAACTGCACATTCTCTGATTTAGGGGTTCCTGATTTGATATTCTTCATATAACTGTTGCTAATAGGATATAGGCCATAAGGTTGAGCTTACAGCCACCACATGAACTGGTGATCAGCAAAGCAAAATGCAAGTGACAGTGTTAAATTGTAAGGAGATGTGTTTCACAAGAGATTAACAGAAGCCTGCAGGCGTCTCTAGAGCGCCCTGCCTGCGAGAAGCAGATCTGATAGGAGAAGCTGCTCAGAGGACAGGCCCGAGCCACCTTGGCCTCCAGGACATGTTCTCGGAGACCACACAGATGCCAGTGACGTTTGAGCCCCAGGATGGGAGGGACTGATTAAAAGGCAATGGGAAGGAGTTAGTAAAGAGAGACTGAGCACTGCCTGCCTGCTCCCTCATTTTCCCATGTGTTTTTGTAACACTTCTTACCTAAGGAATGCCCCCAGGGCTTCCTGTCAGTGTGCCAGTCATCTTTTTCCCCCTTTGTGCCGGTCACGCCGTGCACTCTCCTTCTAACAGGAGCAGGCTGCCAAGGTCATACTTACCAGTCTTCGGAGCCCACCCGGATAAACATAGAGACGAGCCGATCAGGAGGTGCAAGCACTCGAGCTTTATTCAGAGGCCATCACAGCAAGGCCAAGCAGGAAAGCAAGAGCAAGAGAGAGCGAGCTCCGACCCCTACTGCCCCTATATACCTTCCTAGCCCCTCCTCCTCAGCCCGCCCACTAGTGACTGGTTGTAGGATCAGATACCGGAAGGAGGCGTCTGGGGTTAGCGCTGCACAAAGGGAGAGTACGTGACACAGGAAGCTAGGCCTGGATACCGGAAGGAGACGTGTGGGGTTAGCGCTGCACCTAGGGAGAGGACTAGGCAAAGGGAGCTCGTTCTCTGCCATCACACTCCCACGTGGCACAGCCCCCTGCCTCGGGAGCACATGCTCCGGCTACTTCCCCGTATCCTGTTCCTACCCCAGTTCACCACAACTCCACATGGCACAGCCCCCTGCCTCGGGAGCGTGAGCTCCGGTTACTTCCTAATATCTTGTCCCTGCCCCATCTTGCCACAACCCCCACGTGGCACGTAGCCAACATCAGACAATCCCTCACACCCCTTCCCCTCACACCATTCCCACCATGTTAAAACACTCAAGTCTCATGGTTAAAAACCCTCGATGAAGCATTTAGTACCTTCGGGTCTTTTTGTATCCTGACGAGTCAGTCTTGAGAGGGCGATGAGCTGGATGCCATTTTACAATTGGCATATCAGTTAGAGATTTGTTGAGATTCATTGTGTCTCGGTGAATCAGGGGGAATGAGGAAAATTAACATTGTGCTGTATTATTTAGTAACCAGTATTGTTCTGTGATCCATCCTTTTCCTCGTTCTGAAGGCCAGGAAGTTTCTAAAAGGTGTGATTGGGTAATGTCATCACTGTCAGCCCCAAGGCATCTGTTCCTTAACCAGCTTGGGCTTGGACCTTTCCAAGTGGAATCCCCTCTTCTGTCTCACCCACAGACAGAGGACCAGTTTGAGCTAGGCCATCCCCAGGGGACCAGTCTCCTGTCCTTGCTGTCTTATCAAGATCAGGGGTGACAGTTTCCAGTGGGGTAGCTATAGCTGGGGTAACCTGATTAAGATGTTTCTGTTTTTCTAGCCAGGATTGCTAGAGGCAGCTGGGTCTCGGGAAGCACCTAGTGTTCCTTAAATGTCAGGGGGGTCTGAAGGCCACCCCACCTACTAGTCAGGGCTGCCTGCTTTCCCAGGGGAGGTCCAAATGATCTGCTCTCAGGCCAATCAGAGGGAAGTGACGCCTAGATTTAAAAGGCCTCTGGGCCCTTATGCCAGGTCTGTCGTGATTGGGAGAGACTACGGACCTCAGTTCATTGGTTGCTGATGGCCTCACTAATACATTGATTGATGGTGCTCAGAACTGTGTCTTTCAGAATTTCATTCGTGACATTTCCCTGTGTAGTTCAGGCACTGGGGCTGAGCTGGTGCTTTTTGGAGCCAGAGTTTAATTTCTCCAAAATGACAATAGTTGTAGAAATTGTTTGGTGCACTTGGCATCTTTGTGAACTTCTTATTTGTTTCAGGTTAGGGCCTCAGCGTTCATGTCTTATAAACCAATGGGCAGTAGAGATTTTGCTGTTTCCTGGCCTGATTTCTCTCCCCTTCTCAATCCCAGCCCCACCATCGCCAACTACTGGTGCCTTCCCTCTGAGATTACTTTCTGTGGACACAGTGCCCGGCACACAGACTCACTTAATACACTCTTGTGGCTCCCCGAGTTATTTCTGTTTTTAAAAAACATACTGGAAGTAACAATGCCCTAACCAGAGTCTGTGTCTGAGGGTGCCATTTCAAGTACTTGTCTGTTAGAGCGATAGAGTGGTGGAAGAGGTAGGGGCATGAAAAGGGACATAAGGATCCCTGGGGAGGGAGAGCTTATCATATTGGCCTAGGAAACCACCTATTAGCATTATGTCGTATCAGACTTTTATTTATTTTGTTAAGCATTTCCCAGTTGTGTTTTAATAGTATTTAATTTTTTCCAATTCCCTGTAAAGACAGGTTTTTTTTTATCAGATTTTGAGTTCCAAATTTTTCTCCCTCCTTCCTTCCTCTCCCTCCCCCCTAATTTGATATAGGTTCTATATGTGCAATCAGGTAAACAGAAGAGAAGGAAAAAACTTAAAAAACAGACGCAGAGAAAGTAAAAATCGTCTGCTTGGATGCGCATTCTGACTCCATCAGTTCTTTCTCTGGGGGTGCATGAAGCCTTTGACGTCATCCTGGGTCACTGTTGCTGAGAAGAACTGAGGTCTTCGCTGTTGATGACTGCGCCGTGCTGCTGTTACTGTGTCCCGATGGTGTTTGAATGTGGTTCGGGTTTCACTCTGCTTGTACAGAGCAGGCAGTGGGTCAGTCAGGGAACATCACTTGAGTCTTGCTCTGTGCCAGGCCCCCGGCTCATCGCAGTCCCCTTCCCCTGGAGGGACAGCCCAATGAAAGGACCGCAGGTTTCCAGCACTTAATAGAACCCAGGCCATGGAACAGCCCCAGCCATGGAAAGCACACTTGCTTAAAATTGTACTTGTCTTGAAGTGTATGTTTGCTTAAAAAGTTCTTCATTTTTAATAAGTTAATTATCTCCTGCATCTCCTAGGTCTAGACCTGTTTGGCTGAGCTGGAATAAGAAGAAGAGCCCTGTGTGAGCTAGGAGCTGCCCTGGGAAGAGGACGGACAGGGGATTGGAAGCTTCACCTGATTCAGGATTACCTTATAACTGGTAAAAAAAAAACAAAGCACAGATCCCTATTCGTCACTGGCCAAGGGCTTTAGAGGTACTCTTCTCCACACTTGACCAGCCTTTGGTCCCTGGCCAGGAAGACACAAGCCTTCAGGATACTGACATTCTCTTGGGGAGGCTAAGACAGCTAGATGTCGGGGATCTCCTGGGGGGAGGGCAGGAGTGTCATTGGCAGGAGGGATGCCCTGCCAGGAGAACCACCCGCAGGTGGGCCTAGGTGCCGGACAGGGCCAGAGTGTGGGGAGCATTACTGTGCAGGAGACTGGCCAAAGCTGATTCCGTCCCTGGCGTGAAGGGCTTCCAAAGGCCCCGTGGAAGAAGTCATCGTCACCTTGGGGCAGGGGGTGCCATGGTGAGGTCTGGGCTTTAGGAGTATCTCTGACAGCTGTGGGGGAGAGAGGCAGATAGACAAGGCGGAAAGCAGGAGTGCTAGTCCAGGGCTGAAGTGGTGATGTTCTGAACCGGCAAGAATGCTGCGTTGCCAAGGAAACTGGAAATAAGACTGACTCGTTGCTAGGAAACAGCAAAGAGCTGTTGAGCCCCGAGGAATCCCAGGGAGGCTCTTCCAGCATCCTGGTGCGCTGTTGTGGGAAGGAGGGCTTTGTTGTGTTGGGCTCCCACCCAGAGGGCAGAGCTGAAACCCAGGTGGGGGTGGGGGGGGTCACTGAAGGGAAGGGGAGTGGGATTCCCTGGAGTAGTCTGTGTCAGCCCTGGTCAGAAGGGCTGCTGGGGCCTGGACCGCCCACCCTCTGAGGCTGCAATCCGAGACAGGAGAAGTGGACGGATGCGTTGAAGTGGGAGCGCTGGGGCTTGTGCTGAATGCCCAGGTGTTCTCGAGGGTTCTCATCTCCTCTGGGTTTCTCAGTGTTTTAGACCCAATGGCTAAAAGGAAAGAAGAACATTTTCTGCCCACTGGGACCCAGAAAAAACAGAGGAATGAGCAGGAGAGGAAATCTGCAGAGGACAGCAAGGAAGAGGAGGAGCTTTCCCTGTCTTTGTCCCCTGGGAATTCGGCTGCTCAGACAGTAAGTGACCTGAGAACAGTGAGATGCTGTGCTGGGGCATGGGCTTCCTGGGAGGGACAGAAGCCAAGAGGGTGGCTTTGTCCTCAGGGTGCAGTGGAGACAGGCTGGGGCCACCTTGACAGCCTAGGTCAGCAGGTGATCAGACGGAGAAGGCGGCCCTTCCTGAGGAGGGGAGGTCGTTGTCCTCTGACTCACGGGAGAAGAGAAGAGGTTTCTCTGTTCCCCTGAGGCCCCTGAAAATGCTGTCAAGTGGGTGCCACATTTTAAGGGACCCCCGGCAGATGAAGTGTCCAGGCCAATGACAGGCTCTGGCAGCCCCCAGAGAGACACCTGAAAGGGCCCGGTGAATTGCCTTTGGATTGACGGCTGTTTGTAGCACAGACAAAATCCCAGGATCGTAGATTCTGGCAGCTGAGGGGTGCGATGGGCAGAGCCCCAGTCTGGAGGCAACATGGCCCGAGCTCAGATTCGCCTCTGCCTCAGCTTCCTCAGCTGTAAAATGGGCATCCTCACAGCACCTCCCTCCCACGGTGGTTGTGTGCACCAGTGAGATGATAGTTGTGAGCCATAGGGCGCTGGGTCGGTGTAGGCTTTGTTACTGAGAACTGAAAGAGATCCCATGTGCTTGCTGCTTTGGATAACCAGGCCTGGGGCCAGTGTAGACAAGGGTTCAGCTCCAGAGCGGACCTTGACCAGAGGTGCCTCCCCAGCAGCAAGGCTCCATCCTCATCTTCAGCTGGCCGCGAGGCTGAAGTACTGGGGCTGGGAGGAAGGGCAGAAGGGCATGGTGGACCCAGGAAGGCAGCGTTTCCAGTGGGCCTCACTTCACATCCCTGAGGCTCGGTCTTCTCATCTGTAAAATGGGGTGGTCTTCCTCACTGGGCTGAGAGCTCTGAATGTGAGTTATTGTTGGGATCTGAACCAGCCCTCCACTTTTACAAATGAGGAACATGAGGCCAGTTTGGATTATCAATAGGGAAATCCTGTGGCCCGCCATGCCTGAGATGAGCCACTCTTGGAATCACAAAGAGGGAGGAGGGTCTTTGGAGGGCCATTGAATGCAGTCGTTAATGGCCGTGGGGATTGTCAGGGGCTGCAGGTTAGGCTCGCAGCTGCTCCTCCGTTCGTTTTGTTTCTCTTCAGATGATTGGTCTGTAGCAAGAAGGTCAAGGTTAGCCTGTCTGGCCGTTGCTCGCTGGACGGGATAGGGCGCTTAGAGAAGTTAAGGCCAGTCAGTTAAAACCAAGGACCTTTGGCTCCAGGGTCCCAGAAGGATTGGCCGTCCTTTTCCTTTGCTGTGTGTCATGAGTTACTGTGATCAGGGCTGCTGATGCTGGGGAGGGCTGAGTTCCCTGGAAATCGGCCTGGCTTTCGGTCTCTTACTGACGTGTGAGTGAGGGTCCTCAAGGCTGGGCTGGGGTCTCTGCCAGCTGTTGGGGCGGCGCGCCACGTGGCCACACCCACTCTGAGGCCCTCGTTTTCTTTAACAGATGTCAGCCGAAGTCGGGATCATCGAGAGCATCCAGCTGAAGAATTTCATGTGCCATGCGATGCTCGGGCCTTTTAAGTTCGGATCCAACGTCAACTTTGTGGTGGGAAACAACGGAAGTGAGTTGGTGTTGGAGAGACAGAGATCCGCCATTCATGGCGGAAAAACTGGGCTCTGGAGGCTCCAGCCTTGTTGGAGATGGTCCCCGGGGCCCTGCCCATTGTGGGTGTGAGTGCGCGTGTGTGCGTGTGTGTGTGTGTGTGTGTGTGTGAGAGACACAGAGAGAGATGCATGCTCCCCCCCAACCCCCGAGGCCTGTGTGCCAGGGCTGTCAGCGCTGGCAACAATTGACAGCTGTGCCGGACAGGGTGGCTGGGACAGCTCCTCACTTCGTTATTGCACCTTGTGGTTCTAAAACGTGCAGGTCCTGCTTGCAGGTGAAGGTTGGTCATTGCCTCCATACGGTATCTGTGCACTTCTTCATCCCAGGCACATCCTGCCTTGGGATCGACTGTGGCACACCCCCCTGGGTAAACTCCGTGAGCCCCGTCAGTCACCAGCAGGAGCCCTTCTCCACCTGCCCCCTCCTCTCTGTCCGGGCTCCGTACACCTCCCTCCCCAGCACAGGGACCCCAGCCTCCTGGCTGTTCCACAGACAAGACCCTCCAGCATTTTCTGTGGCCGTCCCCTGGGCCTGGCACACTGTCCCTCCTCTCTCTGCCCCTTCTACCGGAAGCCTTCCCCAACCTCTCCTAATTCTGTGCCTACTTTCTCTTAATTCTCCCCAGCCTGTCCTGTCTCCCTCGTTAGATTGTAAGCTCCTCGAAGGCAGGGGCTGTCTTGCCTTTTTTTTTACCCTCAGTGCTTAGTACAGTGCCTGGCACATAGTAGGTGCTTAAAAAATGCTTATTGACCAACTGACACAACCCCCCACGGGGCGGAGACCACAAACCAGTTATTAGCACGATGTCTGTAAGTCTTTAGATTAAGAATAGCATCATTGCAGTGTGTTACTGGCAGTAATGATCGTTGTGACCCGAAGCTTAGTTGTCCTTGCTCTTTGGTTGAGTGACGTGGTTATATTTTGATGTTACCAGGTGTCTCATCAGTACATAGAATGCATATAATGCTTACAGTATAGCATTCTCGCACTCTTGCACTCTCTGTAGATGGGAGAGTGTGTGTGTGCGTGTGTGTCTGTCTGTCTGTCCATCTCTTATGGTGGAAAAAGTCTCCACGTAACCCGATTAGTACTTAAAACAGTTCAGCCAAATGTGTTAAACACATTGGGATCTCCAGCCCCTCGCTTTGTTCTGAATTATCTGTGCAGTTGCTGTTTGTGGTCGCAGACTGAGGAGGGAAGGCCGCTCTAAACCGTGCCCCTGGCCCCCGACAGCCGGTGGCCCTGTATCTCTAGAGAGAAGAGCCCCGGCCTGGGGGTCCGGGGAGCACAAGGCCAGGCCCTGCTTCCTCCAGCTTTCCTCGTGACTACTTAGTACTGGGCCTTGTGTCATTTTCTGATTTAAGAAGAGAAATGGTTTATTGTGGCTTTGCTGGAATTCAGTAATACTCTGATGAAGAAAAGCTGTGCTAAATGTTGAATAGGCGTTCTCCTAGGTCAGAATTATTTAGACACTGTGTAGAATGTCAGTATTTTTGAGTCCACAAAACAAACAATCTAGTTCTGGTTCTTATTTGAAAATAACTTAGAAAAGCTCTTGCCTGCCTGTGATGCTATACTCAGTGAGATGCGTGGTCCCTTGTATCTCAGGCTCTGTGAGGATGGAGTCGGGCGGGAAGGATTTGTTAACATGATGCGTAAGCCCAGAAATGAGGCTGCTTAGGGCCGGGTCATCGGCATGAGAAATGGGGCTACGAGGTCCTCAGTGGCACGAGTGTGTCAACATACAGACTGCCCTTTTGTTTATAATCTGTAAGGAACATGAAATATTCTATGGGATGAGGAAGATTCTGTCCCCAATGTCGTCTAGAAAGTCCACGTGTCCCGCAGCAATCCCTGGGTCCTCGGTCGTTGTTGGCGGTGCCCGAGGGCTCCTCTGGTCCCACCTTCTGCTGCAGAAAGGAGGAAGCCAGGGCCTGAGAGGGAGAGGGAGGGGGACTGCCCGCCGGGCGCACAGCAGGGGACGCAGGGTCGGGGGATTCGAAACCAGCGTTCTCGCTTCAGCGGGCTTCTGGGGGCACTGTTGATGCGTCCTGTCTTTTGTTCCCTCAGGCGGTAAGAGCGCAGTCCTGACGGCTCTCATCGTTGGTCTTGGAGGAAAAGCAACAGCCACCAATAGAGGCTCCTCTTTGAAAGGCTTTGTGAAAGATGGCCAGAGGTGGGTGAGACGGGGGGTGGACCATTGCTTGTCCTGTCCTTGTGGGATTCCTCTTGTTTTCCCTGGGGCTCCCTGAGTAGGAGGATGTGGCTGTGTCACTGTTCTCGAGGAGGGGGTCACGATGCAACCAGATGGTGGTCACCGACTTTACTTGCATCCTGAGGCGCCTCTGGCCACAGTGAGGAGCTTGGGTCGATGGAAGGCAGCCCGCGAGTTCCACTCAGAAGATGTTTTGGCGGTCTAGGCGGGAGGGAACGAGGCCCCGAAACGGGTGATGGCTGTGAAGAGGAGGCAGGGGACGATTGCAAGGCAGCGTGTGGGCCTGGAACGCAAGGAGCGAGGGAGCCAGAGGAGTCAGGGATGACGTCACGGGTTCAAGCTTGAGTCTGGAGGAGCCACTGCCCTCCGCAGGGAGGACGAGCTCAGGTGTGAAGCGGGCACGTCGAGGCCGACCCTCGCCTGAGCTGCGTGCCTGCCCGGTGGCCGCTACATCTTTGTCCGGTGACCTCCGTGAGGGCGAGTGAATGGCGTGGAGCAGACTGGGCCGGAGGTCGGCTCGGTGTAAGGGGACCGTTCTGAAAGTCCAGGGGCTGCCTCTGGAAAGTAGAGATTCATTGACCGTTAGTCAGGCTGATGCCGCACAAGGGTTCTGCGGATGCCATCCTCAATTCCTCAGACTCCCGCTGAAGGGGTGAAAAGTGATGGAGCAGGCAGGGGCTAGATGGCAGAGAGATGGAGGAGAACGAATCACATCACCCTCCGTAGCTCGTCAGCAGCCATAACGTTTTAAATATGTGTCGTCCCCTTCTCCCAGGCTTCCTTGCCTTCCACCAGAATTATTGCGATGACTTTCTATTTTTTGTTTTCTTTTTCCTCTTTGTGTGTTTGTTTAGTATTTTATTTTGCCCCAGTTACATGTAAAAAAATTTTTTTAACATTTTTTTAAAAACTTTTCATTCCAGATTCTCTCCCTTCCTCCCTCCCTCCCCACCTGCATCATTGAGATGGCAAGCAGTTCAATAGAGGTTACACACATGTACTCATGCAGAACACTTCCATAATAGTTAGGTTGTGAAAGGAAATGTAGACCAAAAAACTCAAGAAAAATAAATTTTAAGAAGTCTGCTTCAGTCTGTATTCAGACACACCAATTCTTTGTCTTTCATCCCAAGGTCCTGTCTTGGGTCCTTGTATTGCTGAGAACAGCCAAGTCATTCACAGCTGATCGTCTTACAACATTGATGTTACTTTGTACACAGTACATTGCACTTTGCATCAGCCCATGCAAGTCTTTCCAGGTTTTTCTGAGAGTATCGTGCTCTTCATTTCTTATAGTACAGTAGTATTCCATCATAATTACGTACCACAACTTGTTCAGCCATTCCCCAATTGATGGGCATCCCCTCAACTTCTAATTCTTTACCCCCAGAAAATAGCTGCTATCAATATTTTTGTACACACAGATCCTTTCCTATACAGACCTAGTAGAGGTATTACTGGGTCATTTGCCTTTTCTGTCTTATTAGACAATCTAATAGGTATGAGGTAGTACCTCAGAATTGTTTTAATTTGTATCTCTCCAACATCGAGTTAGAATTTTTTTTTCTTATGGCCAGATAACTTTGATTATTTCATCTGAAAACTGATCACATATTTTGATCATTTATTAATTGGGCAGTGGCTCTTATTTTTATAAATTTTTGACTCAGTTCTCTATATGTTTGAGAAATGAGGCCTTTATCAGAAAAACTTTCTTCAAAAATTTTTCAGTAACCATTGTTGTTTTTCCCTCCATCCTATCCCCCTGTTTATTCTGTGTTCGTTCTCTCTCTCTCTCTTTTCACTCTGTCCTTCCTCAGGTATTTTGCTTCTGACTACCTCTTCCCCCAATCTGCTTTCCCTTCTATCACACCCATCTACTTTGCTGTAGAGGAAGATAGATTTCTGTACCCAATTGAGTGTGTATGTTAATTCCCCTCTGAGCCAGTTCTGATGAGAGTAAAATTTGCTCACTCCCCCTCATCCCCCTCATCTCCCTCTTCTCCTCCACTGTAAAAGCTTTTTCTTGCCTCTTTTATGTGAGATAATTTACCCCATTCTACCTCTCCGTTTCCCTTTCTCCCAGTACATTCCTCTCCCCCTTAATTTTACTTTTTAGTTATCATCCCTTCATATTCAACTCACACCTGTGCCCTCTGTCTATGTATAGTCCTTCTAACTATCCTAATAATGAGAAAGATCTTATGAGTTACAAATATCATCTTCCCATGTAGGAACGTAAACAGTTTAACCTTATTAAGTCTTACCTTATGATTTCCCTTTCCTGTTTACCATTTTATGCTTCTTTTGAGTCTTGTATTTGAAAGTCAAATTGTCTGTTCAGCTCTGATCTTTTCATCAAGAATGCTTGAAAGTCTTCTATCTCATTGTATGTCCATTTTCCCCCGTGAAGGATTATACTCAGTTTTGCTGAGTAGGTGATTCTTGGTTGTAATCCTAGCTTCTGTGCTCGCCAGAATATCATATTCTGAACCCTCCAGTCCTTTAATGTAGAAGCTGCTAAATCTTGTGTTATCCTGACTGTGACTCTACAAAACTTGAATTGTTTCTTTCTGGCTGCTTGCAATACTTTCTCCTTGACCTGGGAACTCTGGAATTTGGCTACAATATTCCTAGGAGTTTTCCTTTTGGGATCTCTTTCAGGTGGTGATCAGTGGATTCTTTCCATTTCTATTTTACCCTCTGGTTCTAGAATATCAGGGCAGTTTTCCTTCGTAATTTCTTGAAAGATGATGTCTAGGCTCTTTTTTTGATCATGGCTTTCAGGTAGTCCAATAATTTTTAAATGATCTCTCCTGAATCTATTTTATTCAGTGGTTTTTTCAATGAGATAGTTCACGTTGTCTTCTATTTTTTCATTCTTTTGGGTTTTTTTTTTTGAGCTCTTCCATGGCCTGAGACCAATTCATATTTTTCTTGGAGGCTTTGGATGTAAGGAGCTATGACTTTGTTATCTTCTTCTGAGTATATGTTTTAATATTCCCTGTCACCACAATAACTTTCTGTCATCAGTTTTTTCCCCCCGTTGTTTGCTCATTTTCCTAGCCTGTTACTTGACTTTAAACTCTTTGTCAGGGTAGGGCTCTGCTTCCAGCATGGAGGGCACACTGTCCCAAGTTTCCAGGGGTTTGTGCATCTGTTTTCAGAGATACTTCCTGCATCTCTGTAAGTTTTCAGTTCTTCCAAGGTAGTAGGATCTAAGGAGAGGTGTTTACTCGTCTCCTGGCCTATGCTCTGGTCTGTGAGTGACCACAAGCACTCTTTCTGCCCGGTCCCCCCTCCACTGTGGCCACAAGCTCTGGTGTGCTAGTGCTACCCCTTGCCTTGGGACTGCCACCCAGGACTGCAACCAGGATGCAAGTGTGGTCAGAGCAACAGAGGGCTGCCCCAGTGCTAGCAAAGAGACCTCTGTAGTCTGCTCGTGACCAGCTGTTCAGCCCCCTTACCGTCTGTGGGCTGCCCGCTCCTGAAGCAGCTGCTGCTGTCTCTGCTGGTTCAGTGGCTGCCAAGGCTGCTCCTGTTTGTGGTGGCCGGGTCTGTCCTGGTGTGGCCTCTCACCCTGGTGTTACAGACCTTTCCTGTCAACCCTGCAAGCTGTCCTGGGCTGGAAATTTGTTTCATTCTGTCTTTCTGTGGATTCTGCTGTTCCAGAATTTGTTTAGGGTCGTTTTTTAAATAATTCACTTGTTTTTAGTTTTCAACATTCACTTCCTTAAGATTTTGAGTTCTAAATTTTCTCTTCCTCCCCCCTTTCTAATATGGTATGCAATCTGACATAGGTTCTTATATGTTCATATTAAGCATATTTTCACGTTGGTGCTGATATAAAGAAGAATTAGAACTAATGGGAGGAACCATGAGATAGAAGAAGCAAAACAAAACAACGAAAGAAAAGGAGAGCAAATAGTACGCTTCCATCTACATTCAGACTCCATAGTTCTTTCTTTGGATGTGGACAGCATTTTCTGTCATGAGACCTTTGGAGATGTCTCAGATCCTTGCGTTGCTGAGAAGAGCTAAGTCTATCAGATTTAGTTATCGCACAATGCAACTGTTTGCTGTGTACAGTCTTCTCCTGGTTCTGCTCATTTCACTCAGCATCCGTCCATACAAGTCTTTCCAGGTTTTTCTGAAGTCAGCCTGCTCATCATTTCTTATAGCACAGTGGTATTCCATTACGTCCATATACCACAACTTGGTCGGCCATTCCCCAGCTCATGGGCATCCCTTCAATTTCCAGTTCTTTGCCACTACAAAAAGAGCTACTATAAATACTTTTGTACATGTGGGTCCTTTTCCCATTTGTATGATCTCTTCGGGATACAACCCTAGAAGGGCTATTGCTGAGTCAAAGGGCATGCACAGTTTTATAGACCTTTGGGCATAGTTCAGAATTGCCCTCCAGAATGGTTGGACCAGTTCACAACTCCCCCAACAATGCGTTAGTGTTCCAATTTTTTCACACCTTCTCCAACATTTATCATTTTCCTGTTTTGTCATATTGGCCAATCTGATAGGTGTGATGTGGTACCTCAGAGTTGTTTTGATTTGCATTTCTCTAATCAGTAGTGATTTAGAGCATTTTTTCATATGACTATACATAGCTTTAATTTCTTCCTCTGAAAACTGCTTGTTTATATCCTTTGATCATTTATCAGTTGGGGCATGACTGCTATTCTTATGAATTTGACTCAGTTCTCTACATATTTGAGAAATGGGACCTTTATCAGAGACACTGGCTGTAAAAATTGTTTCCCAGCTTTCTGTTTCCCTTCTCATCTTGGTTGCACTGGCTTTGTTTGTGCAAAACCTTTTTAATTTAATGTAATCAAAGTCATCCATTTTGCATTTCATAATGTTCTCTGTCTCTTGTTCGATCGTAAATTCTTCCCTTCTCCATAAATCTGACAGGTAAACTATTCTTTGCTCTCCCAGTTTGCTTATAGTATCAGCCTTTATATCTAAATTGTGTACCCGTTTTGACTTTCTCTTGGTGTTTAGCATGTAAGATGTTGGTCTGTGTCCAGTTTCTGCCATGCTCTTCCAGTTTTCCCAGCAGTTTTTGTCAAATAGTGAGTTCTCACCCCAGGAACGAGGGTCTTTGGGTTTATCAAAGAATAGATTACTGTAGTCCGTGACTGCTGCGTCTTGTGTACCTCCCTGTTGCACTGATTCACCGCTCTTATTTCTCAGCCAGTGCCAGGTAGTTTTGATGATTGCTGCTGTATGATACGATGTAAGACCTAGCATGGCTCGGCCGCCTTCCCCTGCATTTCTTTTCGTTAGTTACCTTGATATTCTGGACTAGAGTTATTTTTTAAAGGTATTTGGAGGAGAGCTCAGGTGAGTCTCTGCCTTTACTCTGCCATCTTGGCTCCGCCCTGTTTTTGTGAGGACCTTTCAAAATCATAATAATACTATGATTATTTTGACAGTTGAAGTGCCCAGAAGTGTCTGTAGTTTGTGTCGCCATAAAGTTGGAATTGAAATTACCAGGCACGAATCTAGTCTTGTCATTTTGTTAAAACACTGAAAAAAATAAGATTCAGTTTATTAAACACTTCATGTAACTGTACCCAAGTTTTTCCAAGCAGGAACCTTGGAAGTTTTCTGTGGGGTGACGTTTTCATTCTAGTTTTCATAATCCGGAGATCAGACGGTTGTTTTCCCATGATATATGTAGTGTCTCTTGGCTGTGTTTTGCTTTGTTTTACAGTATCTGTACTCCTGGTATTTTTCCAGAGCTGTTTTGTAACTGATGGAATATTTCTCCATAGAAAACACAGTTTAGAAAATACACAATCCCACAAAATAATAATAGTAATGATTGGTGATGATGATAGTTTTTATTAATACCCTTTTTGTTTGTTTGTTTGTTTTTGGCTAGACAATGGGGTTAAGTGACTTGCCCAGGGTCACACAGCTAGGACATGTTATGTGTCTGAGCCCAGATTTGAACTCAGGTCCTCCTGAATCCAGGGCCATTGCTCCATCCACTGTGCCACCTAGCTGCCCCCACCCTTTGCTTTTCCATCACCTAAGTTCCCCCCTTATCCTTCTCTTTCTCTCCTCCAAGAGAACCATATATAAAGATTTTTTCCCAAAGAAAAGCAGGTAAAAGCCACTCCACAGATGCGATCAGGACGTCGTCGAAGTCTGACAGTCCATGCAGCATTCCACTCATGGGTCTCCCACATCTCACCATAAGCCCTTGCTTGTTCTTTCTGCCTCCTCTAGTCCTATCTGCACAAAGCTACCATAGAAGTTTCTCTGTGTGCATATCTGGTCGTGGCATGTCCGTACTCAGCAAATGCTGCTGGTTTGGCTTCCTGTTGCTTCTAGGATGAAATGTAGCCCTTTCTGTTTGGTTTTTAAAGCCCTTCACAACCTGGTCCTGATGTGCCTTTCCCCGGGTCTGTGGCCTAACCAAACTGGCCCGCCTGCCGGTCCTCACGAAAGAAACTAACTTTCCCATTTCCACATCTTTGTGCTGGTCAGTAGAGGGGCAGCATGATTTGAGGGACAGTGGCGGTTCAGATCCTGCTTTGGACTTGAACCTGTGGCTGTGGACAAATCCGTTTTTCTGGACCTCCGTTTCTTCATCTGTAAAATAAGGGGTTCAGTCCTGGGGGCCTTCAGAGGTCCCTTCCAGCTCAGAATCTCTGATCTTAGGGCAGGAGAAAGTCTTCCACCATATTGTAAAGAACTTTGAAAGAGAAGGGGCCTTGTATTTCAGCCTAGAGGCGAGAGGGTTCCTCCTGCCCAGGCTGGCGGTGCCCTCAGACTCCCAAATCTCATTTGACTTTTGCGTGGAAAGGGGACGAGGAAGGAGGGATGTTGTGGGCCTTTTGGGAGGCTTTGGGCATGCACCCATTGTGGGCAGGGGCTTTGTGAGTGAAGAGATGGAGGTGGCCGTGACAAGCTTTTGCATCTCATTTGACGTGAAGAATAAGGGAGAGGGACGGGTTGGGGCTAAGTGAGGCTTCCAGCCCAGTTGCCTGGAATAGTGGCAGTGGCGGCCTCAGCAGCCGGAGGGAATGGGCTATGGCTGGTGATTCAGCAGAGGAGACCTGGGGGGCCACGATGAGGAAGAAGGGTGAGCAGTCATCCCCTGCTGCTGTTGAAAGATCAAGAATGAGGCTACTGGGGTTGGCATTTTGAGGGCTCTGGGAATAGAGCAGGAGGGAAGTCCAGACAGAGGGGTTGGTGAGGAGGATTCTGGTTGGGGTATCCCGGGCTTCATCCACACCCTCGGGGATGTGAGATCTGGGAGGAGCAGCCAGAATCGTGTGAATTCAGGCTACAAAAAGAAGCTGGAGCTGAGGGTGGAGAGCTTTGAATCCCAGGACAGGCCTGGAAAGCATTTGGGAATCACTGAAGGTTTTGGAGATTGTTGACTTTATGCTAATAGACTGGAAGAAGAAGAGAAAGGAAGCAGGGAGACTGAGTCAATCTGAACTGGAGGTGGTGGTAGGAGGAGGCCGTGGAGAGACACAGGCCAGTGTCCAGCCTGGATGGCATGGGGTGTTGGCAGCACCCTGGGAATTCGGGGTCTGTATCCTCAACGTGCGCTGTGCTGACGTGGCTTTTTCGGTCTCTCTAGTTCTGCGGACGTCTCGATAACGCTGAGGAACCGAGGGGATGACGCTTTCAAGCCAGACGTGTACGGGGACACGATAACCGTGCACCAGCACATCAGTGTGGAAGGCAGCCGCAGCTACAAGCTGAAAGGCCAGATGGGTGAGTCCTGCGCCGCGAGCTAGCGCTTGTCCCGGGGTGCTCCCAGGGCCCCTAGGCCACTGCCACCACCTGCCCCTCCCGTGGCAGAAGAGAAAAGGTGAGATGCTGTGCTCATGGGACACTGCTGGCACCAGACTGTTGCTTACAAAATCTGGTTGTCATATCGCCTCACGCCGCACAAAAGGGCCAGAAAGGGAACGTGGATGGGGGGCATCTGTCTGAGCCCCGCCTCCTGCAGCTCCGCGGACGGGGAGGCTTCCAGCCCCTTCCTGGGGGGAGATCCCATCCCCCCACCCCAGGTGGCATGTTGCACTTTGGGGCCATGGAGCGGTAGGAGGTTTTCCTGGCCTTTGCACCTCGGGTGACCTCTTTGCAACTTCTGCACGTTGTGCCTCGTTCTCTTTGAGATGACATTCCTTTCAGTCATTTCTTGGAAATTCCACATCAGTCTAAACAAAAAGCTCTCTGATTCTGCCTCACGTCATGGTCGTGACACTCGCTTTTAAGTGAGGACCCTAGCCCTTCACGGGCTGTTTGTGCTTTTGCGTGGCGGCCTAGCCAAGGTCAAGACTTTGACGCCTGGGTTGATTTCTTCAGTCAGAGCAGCTCCCAAGGTCAGCTCTGAGTGTGTAGGAGGACACAGGATACGGGGGTCACTATCTGCCCTCTCTGTGGAGGAGGGCAGATCTACAGTGGGAAAGGACACAGCGATAGGGAATGAGAAGCCTCTGGGGGCAGTAGCGCAGCTCCGGTTGGGGTGGGGGGGTGGGCTCCTTGGTGGCTTCAGCATCCTTAAGTCACTGCGGTGTGTCCTGTCTTGTGTTTTTCCTAATTAGGAAACCTGGTTTCTGCCAAGAAAGAAGAGCTCACGGCGATTCTCGATCATTTTAACATCCAGGTAATGGCAGGAATTCCATGTCAGATGAGTTTGTACTTTTAGAAAAACAGAAGGGTTGTCTTTATCATGTGCGGTGGTCTCTGGGTGTTCCTGCTGCCAAGGCCGTCCTCACCCTGACCCTCGGTGACCCCACTGTGGGGAGCGTGAGTGAAAGGCCTACCTTGCGCCTTCAAAGTCGAAGTCACAGCTCCCTGCTGCCTTCATGTGCTCCCACAGCGCTGGTGACGTTGGCCTGTCTTCCCCCTCTGCCTTTGCTGGTCCTGATGGCTGGAGCACCCACCTTCCCCCGTCCCTTCCAGGCCGCCTCTGGCCTTCGTCTTCCAGGAAGCTCTCCGTCATCCCGTGTGTGTTATAGCCATCCCCCTTGGCACCTTAGCACGTTAGCCCTTTGCCTAACCAGTTCACTCAGGTCCTTGTCCTGGAGGCTCATAGTCTGAAAGGTGCAGAGATGGCTGGACGGACAGACAGAGCTGGACGTTTGCCTCCCGGCCATCGAGCTCCATGCCCTCGTTGAGAGGGGGGCAGGGTGTGGATCTAAACTCATGCCCTCCAGTCCTCGTTCCAGCTCTTTCCCCTCACCCGACTCCTTCCTCTATGAAAACCGGGTGCGGTATCCCCCTTTGCACGGCAGGTCTCGTGAGAGTAGAGGTGGCCTGTGCCCTTCATCGCCTGCTGTCCAGCTGCCCCTGGGAAGCCTTGCCTGGGGATAGCATCTGAAACCTGTCTGTGCCCCGCTACCCTGCCGAGGACAGGAGGCTTGGGTTGGGATGGGTCCTGGCCTTGTGGCCCGGTTCGTCCAACGTGGGCTCTGGATGGGACCAGGGTTCTGGGACCAGGGGAGGCCACCACAGGCCGACTGGTGAAGAAACGAGTGCATTTTGGTCTGAAGTTGCACTTTGTGAGAAGACCCAAAAGCTGTGACTTTTCAGAGCTGAAGGTTTTATCATTTTTTAGTCGAGCCCTGGACCTGGAGTCAGGAGTACTGAGTTCAAGTCCAGCCTTGGGCATTTTCCAGTGGTGTGGCCCTGAGCAGATCACTTAGCCTAGGTCTGCCTCGGTTTCCCCCTCTAACATGGGGATGGCCCCCACTCTGAGGGTTGTGAGGAGGGAGGTGACGTTTGTCTAGTGCTTTGCACACCAGAAAGGCCCGTATTTACCTGCCAGCTGCTGCCATTGTTAATGATGATGATGATGTTCTGGACTTGGGGCGGAGTGCTTGGCACATAGCAGGAGCTTCCTGACTCGATCTCCTGGGCAAGGCTCTGGCTCGCCAGGCCTCGGTTTCCTCGCCGACAAGCTCGGCTCTCAGGGCCCCGTCAGCACCGACATTCTCTTGTTGGGTGACAAGGAGGACAGCCTGGTCGGCATCACCAAAAACGATGAATAAAATTCTCTACCCGGAGTGCCCGTGACAGGCGCATTAAGACAGTTGAGGTCCAGGGTTATTGGTAGCTGGCCTGGGGGCTTCCGGCCCTCGGGGGCCGTCGCGCTGAGGAGCTCTGAGGAGCTCCGGGGTCCCTGCGGTGACCCTTTCGGCCTCTTGTCATCACGTGAGGTTGTCCCTTCTGGTTTGGGCCCTGCTTGGCTTGGCTCTGGCTCGTCCCGCCCCCTGCCTCGCCCTGGCCTGGCTACCTGCAGACATGCTTGAGGTCAGGGCCTTTGTGAATGCAGAGAATCCAGCGTGCTGTTTGTTTTGCAGGTGGATAATCCTGTCTCTGTTTTAACCCAAGAGATGAGCAAGCAGTTCTTGCAGTCCAAAAATGAAGGTGACAAATACAAGGTAAGGAAGGCTCCTGAGAGCGTGGCTGCAGCAGGTGCAGGCGCGCTTGGCTTGGCCCAGAGAAGAGATGGGGGGGGCGCTCTAAAGTCGGGCTTGCTTGATAGACCCTGGGGTTTTGTTTTTTCACTTTCCCAACATTTGAGGCCACCCAGCTCCCGGTGAGCCAGGCAGGGTACCTTGTAAAGTGATTGCCAGGTGGCTTGGCCTCATTCGCCTGCCTGTTGTGTGTTTCTGAGCTTCTCGACTTTGGATTGCTGCCAGGTTTTACAATGTCCTCGGTAACTAGGAAAAAAAAAAGCAGTTTCAGAACTCTGCAGAAAGCAGGCCGCTGACGGGAAACGGAATCCGCAATGCCTGATGAGCCCCAGCTTGGGGGGGGCCCTGTAGAGCCCGAGTTCAGAGCCCACCTCTCTGACCCCGGGTTTCACCAGCTGTGATGTGGAGTGGTAATGGATGGGTCCAGTAAGATGAAGTATTGGTTAGCCGGAAGCAGGGTAGCTAGGTGGCACAGTGGGTAGAGCGCTGGGCCTGGAGTCAGCAAGACCTGAATTCACATCCGGCCTCAGACACGTACTGGCCAGTCCCTTCACCCTGTTTACCTGAGTTTCTTCATCTGTAGAACGAGCTGGAGAAGGAAATGGCAAGCCAGTCTAGGATCTTTGCCAAAAAACACCTGATGAGGTCACAGAGTCAGACACGACTGACCAACCACCACCACATAAAGGCCTGTGTCAGTGAGGGCCGCTATTAGGCTAGCTCTGGCAGGAGCCGAGGTGACCCGGGCAGGAGGGCTTTCTCGGAGACCCAGGAGAATGACCCCAAAGGACGATGAGTGGACGATGCAGGCTTCTGGGGATGGCTTCTGGGGATGGAACGGTAGGGTCGGGGAGAACCCGGCTCGAGAGTCCTTCGGTGCTTGTGCTGGGCCCACCATCAGTGATAAGAAGCTGGACCTCCATGCGAGCTCGCCGGTTCAAATCCTTCTTTCTGGGATCTCTCGCTGAGCCTGGAGTCACTGGACAGGAAGAAACCACCATGTCCTGGGCAACCTCCAGGAAATCCCTCCCTCCTGCATCTCTTTGGGGCTGCTCCTGCCCCCGGGCTCAGAGGAAGGCCAGCCCTTCTCCTGGAAGAGCCTTCATGGCCCTCCTTCATCCTCTGTTCTTTGAGCTAGTTCTCTTCCTGTCCTCGTCCTCCTGACGCTCCGTCAGGGCTCAGGCCCCGTCCTCATCCTCCAGTCAGGATGGCGCCCACAGCTGGGCCGCGTTCTAGGAAGGGAACCAGGTGGAGCACAGACTGGCTTCTCCCTTCTTGACACTACGCCTTCTGGTGGGCTTATTCAAGTGAATTCACCTCTTCTTGGGTCTGTTGTCTTAAGAAATATTTCCCACACAAACATAAAATAAAGATCAGGAATAGAATTTGTTAGGGGAGAAAAAAGCTATGTCAGCCATATTATTCAATATTGTTTTGGACTATTTAAAGTAACTGCTGCACAGTTTAAGGTTGGAATATTGTGGTGGTGTAGGAAATGATGAATGGTGGACTTAGGAAAACATGGAGAGACTTGAACCTATGAAGGAAGGTTTTCTCCACCCTCAGAGAAACAGGACAAGTAAGTCCAGTGTGGTCTTACAGAGATGCATAGGAATGTAAATTTCTATATATGAGTGTGATAATAGATGTCTAAATAGATATGTGTGTATGTAAGTGTATATGTGTGCTTGTGTTATGTGCGTATGAATGATATGTGTGTATACATACATGTGCGTGTACACATGCATATACATGTGTATGTGGGCACACATCTCCATGCTTAATTGTAGCCTTCTGGGGGGCGGAGAACAAAGTAAAAATGCACAGCAGACAACAGGAGAAAACTCTGAAGGAAGCAAAGAAAAAGTACCGCTCGGGACACAGTGTGTAGTATTTATTATGTCGTCTTTCTGGAAATGGAAATTTATTGCTGTATGTTTTGAATCCTCTTATGTTCTGCTGTGCACATGACAGTGCTTTTTTTTCTTTCTTATTTTATATTTAGTTTAAAATGACAATTTACCCAAAAAAAAGGGATGGGGGATTTAAGTGAAAAAAAGAAAAGAAATATTTCCTGGTCCGGGCAGTGGAGGATTAGGTTACCAGTCAGTGTTCGTCTCCTTAGCAAGGTGACAGCCAGCTGGTTCCAGACAAGAAAAGCCTTCTGGGCCCCTGTCTTCCCGGCTCCTGCTTTCAGAGCTGTCTGCAGCTGCCATAGAGAGAAGGAGTTCCCGTCCCTGGACATCCTCAGCCAGGCCAGATGACCGCTGGTCAGGGGGATTGCAGAGCCAGGGGTAGATGAGGGGAACTCTGAGGTGGGGAGGGGTCTATCAGGATTCATTCTCAGAAGTGCAGCTGGAACAGGCCCCAGGAAGGGGCTGCAGGGACCCAGGCCCTCCTGTGGAGGGGAGAGCTGAGTTCAGATGCAGCCTCAGGCACTGACTCTGGACAGGTTCCTTCAAATCTTGGGTTCCTCATCTGTGAAGTGGGTAGAATCCCAGCACCGCCCCCCACCCAGACTGTTTCTGTGACATCGACATGCTTAATTCTTGTCTTTTTTTGGCTTAGTTCTTTATGAAAGCGACCCAGCTGGAGCAGATGAAAGAGGATTACTCCTATATCATGGACACCAAAGCCAGAACCTGGGACCAGATAGAGCAAGGGGAAGAGGTAGGTGAGAGACATCCCGTCCAGGTTCCCTGGGGTCTGTGGTTCTTCCGGCCTGTGCGTTGTCACTGGAGCGTCCAAGGAGAGAGTATTTGCAATCCTGAGACATGCAGCCTCCCCCTTCTCAGGGCTGAGGCTCACCTCCCCTCCCCTTCCAAGGTGTCCCAGCCCCCTGAGGGCAGTAAGGGCATTTTGGGGAAGCAGACTCGGGCAGCCCTTGGGGAGCCCTTCTGGGTTAATGATCCCAGGAGTGGCCCTTCCTTCATCCTTCCTGAACCCCCAGCTCCAGCTTCAGTCGAGGTGGAGAAGACCATTGGCCAGTCAGTGAAGGCCTTCTGATAAAACGTGGGAGTCTGGTATTGGTGCAGCACCCACTGCGCATGGGGCACTAGGGGGATACCAAGAGAGAAGGGGAAGCCTTTTCTGTGCACCGAGGGAGGGCATGTGGGGACAGCGGTCAGGAAGGCTCCCTGCAGAAGATGGGGTCTAGGACTGCATGTGAAGGACCAGGAGGGGGGCCTTCCAGTCACAGGAAGGTTGGTGTGAGGGCTCAGACACCAGGGAAGGGGCAGGGTGTGTGAGGAGCAGAGGGGAAGGGTATGAAGGGGAGGGTCCCTCGGGGACTGGAAGGAGAGGGTTGTCCTCCACAGAGAGGAGAGAGTGAGGTCCTTGTCACTGATGCTAGGAAACTTTGACCTAGAGGCTGTAGAGAGCCTCTGGACGTGGACGGGATCACGGGGTCGCATCCGTACTTGTTCAGCTGCGCGGGGTAGACTGGGGTGGGAAGAGAGCCCAGGCAGGAGGGATGGCTGGACAGCAGCGGCTGCTGGGACAGTAGAGACAGAAGGGCTCCAGGGCAGCGAGGTTTGATGGCAGATTGGTTTTTGGAGGCAGAAGCCAGAATCAGGCCAGGTGCTGAGATTCCACAGTCATGAGACTGGAGGGAGGGGGGTGTCTTCCATAGAAACAGGGATGTCAGGATGGGGGTGAGTTGGAAGGAGAAAGAGGAGGAGCTCGGTTTAGGACATGGTGTTAGAAATGTCTGGTGGGTGGTGTCGAGCTCAGGAGGGAGGCCAGGGCAGGCCTGCACACCTGTCTACTGATGGGGAGAGACGGGCCCAGGACAGAGTCTGGGCAAGCACTCGTGGCAAGGGGTCCCCAAGGGGTGAAAAGCCATCCAGGAAGACTGAGGAGGAGGCCCAAGGAGAGGGCCCCACGAGGGGAGGTTGTGTCTTGTGGGGTATCCGAGAAAGAACAGTTCTGGCACAGTGTTTGAGTCCGTGGGCCAGATGTCAGGGGCCTGAAAACTGATAAGAAAGTAATTGGGGGCAGCCAGTGTAGATACTTCTTTTTCTTTTTCTTTTTTTAATAATTAATTTATTTAATTTTAGTTTTCAGCATTCGCTTCCGTAAGATTTTGAGTTCTAAATATTCTCCCCCTCCCTCTCATTTCCCCTCCCCAAGATGGGGTGCAATCTGAAATAGGCTCTACTTATACATTCGTATTAAGCGTATTTTCCATTAGTCACGATGTAAAGAACAATGAATTAGAACTAATGGGAGGAACCAGAAGAAAGAAGAAATAAAACGAAACCACGAAAAAGAGAGAGCAAATAGTTTGCTTCCGTCTGCATTCAGACTCCGTAGTTCTATCTCTGGATGTGGGCAGCATTTTCCATCGTGAGTCTTTTGGAGCTGTTCGAGATCCTTGCATTGCTGAGAAGAGCCAAGTGTAACAAAGTCAGTGTAGATGCTTTTTCTTAGCAGTTTGGCCGAGGAAGGCAGGAGAGGCATAATATTGGGGCTGCAGGAAGGCAGCAGGAAGGAAGGAACGAACCAGTAGAGAGAGTAAAAACCAGAGACGGGGCTGGTCACGGGGCTGACAGGGCCGGGCCCTCCCAGGGCTTCCGTCCTCCTCTGCCAGAGTCCTTGGAGGAAGCCAGGGACGCTCCAAGGCAGAAGGGCCAGGGTCTGGGGGCAGGGCACGTCCGCCACTGTGGCCCGGAGTGCAGACCCTGACCTCCTGCCCTTCCTTCCTGGGCTTCGGTCTGGGAGCCTCGCTTGCTCCTCTTGTTCCCAGGCTGAGGCAATGGGCTTTGAAAGGCTCCCTTCTGGCCCGTGAGGACAGGAGCCCCGGCCGTCTGATGCCTCCACGTGGTCGCACGGTCCTGAAATAAGGCTCCTTGGATTTGGAGGAACTGAGTTATTTAAACAAGGGTGATGACGACGTCTTGTCTCGCTCACTGGTGCCTCTGTAGACTGAAGCTCAGGTCAAAACTGTTGGCTGCTCTGGCTCATATTCAGAATATCTTCATCCTTAGAAGCATTCGCTCACATTACTGAAGGCAAACGATGAGAAGTTTATCAAAATAATTTAAGTCTATTTAGAAACGTGCACAAAACCATTTCCACTTTGTAGGGCAGAAAGCTCAACTATCTGCTAGAAACAGTCGTGAGAGCGTGTAGTAGTGGCGGTTCCTGCTGCAACGCGAGACGTCGTTGGCCGGCTCTGCAGCCGTTCTGAGGCTCCGTCTGCCCTGTGCGCTCGGGCGCGCTTCAGGAGGCGTAAAATGGCATCGTTTTGTTTCATAGCGGCTCCACGAGCTCCGGCGTCAGTGCCTAGAGAAAGAAGAGCGCTTTCAGAGCATCGCCGACCTGAGCGTATTGAGGAAGAAGCTGGAGGATCTGAAACACGAGATGGCTTGGGCCCTGGTAACGCCTTCTTGAATCTCTTCGGGTTTGAAACAGCTCGGGTTCAGACGGGGACTTCAGGGGGTCTTGTGCGCCTTCTCTTGTAGGTGGGCGAGTACGAAAAGGAAATCGAAGAAATGAGGAGCAGTGTGAGTGTTGAAGAGCAGCATATTCTGCGATTGACCCAGAAGCTGGAGTACTGGCAGGTGAGCGCTGGCACAGTGGGCGTCGTGGGGCCTTGGCAGAGAGGCTCGAGTCAAAACGCCAGAGGCCTTGGCTTGAGCCCTGGGGAGGCCCTTCCCCGGGCTAGCCGAGCCCAAGGTGCTTCCAGGCAGCGAGGCCGCTTTCCTTTCAGTAACCCTGCTAGTGGTGCCTCCCCCGGGGTGACGGAACGGGGCTGTAGAACTTCTCACGGCACCTTTGTACGCCATCGCTCGACGGCACAGTGCTTCCTGGGTCCTCGAATGTGGACCAAGTCCGTGGCTTAGGTTCATCCTGACCCTTGTCTCCCTAGGTTTGACATCATAGATTGGCTCTGGGAGCTTTGAGCCATTCTCACTCCTTTTTCTATTCAACTTTGCATGGATTTGGACGTGGGAGGTTTTCTTTTTTCTTAAAGGCCAAAGTCAACGTAGCTGAGGAGAAGTTTAAGGCGATTCAGGATAACTTGGAAAAGATCAGTGACGAGGCCATCGCCCTGGAGCCTAAGTGCATTGAAGCCAAGGAAGATCTGATCAGGAAGAAGAAGGCTTACAATGATGCCGAGGTGAGGGCAGGGGCCTTGCAGGGGGCAGAGTGGGGGTCCCTTGGAACCTTCCTCAGGGGCCATCTTGGGAGCTGTCCTCGGGAGCTGTACTCGGAGGCCATCTTGGGGGGGCTATCCTCGGGAGCTGTCCTCAGAGACCACCTTGGGGCTATCTTCAGGGGTTATCCTTGGAAGCCATCTTGGGGGCTATCCTCCAGGGCCATCTTGGGGGCTATCCTCGGGAGCTGTCCTTGGAAGCCGTCTTGAGGCCGTCTTCAGGGGCCATCCTCAGGAGCTGCCCTCGGAGGCCATCTTGGGGCTGTCCTCAGAGGTCATCTTGGGAGCT